CACAATTTTGGGTGCACGGCTCAATTTATATGATTTAAATAAACATTCCGATTCGTATTGAAAAAACTATTTTATGAAAAAATTTAAAAAATTCAAAGGAAACTGCTTTTGTTTCAGAAATTAAAAAAAATTTAAAATTTAAAAGTGGTTCAATTGCAGTACGGAAAGTACCAGCAATATGCCTTAAGGCACGATACCATGCACCGATAGTTATTTTTTACAGTTATATACCACTAGTTCTATATGCATAATATTTTTCCTCGTTTTATGAAATGTTTTCAATGTAAAAATAGAACATTCGTGCCGTTTATCACGTAGTACACACAGTTTGACTTAATTAATTCAGTTAGAGCGACCGGCATGGCGCAACTTACTAATCGTAATGCGTTCTTGTACATCAAACCAACTGCGTAGTTTTAACTAAATGCCCACAGCACCATTTCCAGATATATACCCGCAGATAATAATATTTTAGTTATTCTAATGTTCTAAGTCATTTTGTGGACATGATTATGGTATCTGTTTAGATAAGGAACACGTATCCACCGGTATGACTTTTTATCAAAACTGGATCAAATCACATCACAATCAATTTTATTAGAGATTTTTTTTCTATAAATTGCATAGTGCCCATAAACGATCATCTTTTTAGTTGAAAAAAGAAACTACCAGTATAAATTTAACCCTTTCGACTCGGACGCCGCCGCTTCGGCTGCAAAATTCATATAAATCTCGCAATTCGCGAGTGGAAAGGTTAAACCTGAATAGATCTATTGATTACTGAAATATCAGTGATAAGTCATGATTAAGCAATCATGGACAACAAAGGATTATAGTTTTAATAATAATACTCATTTTCTAATGAATGTTTCTACGGTATGAACTTCAATGAAAACTTTTGATCCATTGCCTTTGATATTGATATTTCATATCAAAGAATCAAATAGTAACCAAGTTAATGCTTAGGCTTTAGAAAAGTACAATGTTCGTCTACATTTTTATTACTAATAATTTACCATTACCATTTACATTATATTTATTATAGAAAAAAAAATCTTTAAATGATTAGAGGTTAGACCAACAAGGAAACAGAGGTATCTCTAAATGCTCAAAATCTTTTTCTGGTTACTAGCAATTATTAAATTTGGCCTAATTTGAATGTTTTTAATCAGCTATCATTTATATTAGGTTAATGAATAATAAGTTTATCTTGAAATACAAAAATACATTTTGAGAATCAGGAAGTTCCATGATTAACGAATCGGACCACATCTAAATATCATTTTTTCTTTTATTTGTTAAAATAGTATTATTTTTGTATTTTTCAATAGTAGCTACAAATGAGTAGTGTTTTATCTGATAAAAAATATTATTTCTAAAATTAAAAATAATGAAAATAATACGTTAGAGACTCAAATATACACAATATCGATAGGCGATATCCAACAATCTGTATCATTTTTCTAACGAAATATAAAAATATATTTCTTCTAAGTAGTTTTAAATAAAAAAAGGCGCGCAACTCAAAAAAACGAAGGAAATCTTATTTGAAAATAATATACCATTGTCATTTGTAAAAATAATCTATTAGAGTTTAGATTAATTGGCTGTTTATAAAATTTCTATCTCGTCCTGCTTACTAAAATCATTCTACTAAATTCTACTGAATATTTCAATTATATTAAAAAAAAACAAAATGATCGCCTTCAGAGTCTAAAGGAAGTTTGAAAATGTATTTTATAAATTACTTAGTTTTTTTACTACTAACAATAAACAGAAAAACTATTTATATTGATGGATGGAACACAATGTCCTCCCATATATAAATTTCCTTACAAACAAATTTCCTATCTTGTCATCTTCTGGAGGAATATTGAATTCATTTAATGCTCTCTTCTATTTAAATTAGATTATCTTCATGTGAAAATAAATTCAATAGTCTCCAAGAAAATTGAATTTAAAATCTATCATCAGAGCTGATGACTTTAGCAATTTGCGATCTTCATGTTTGGGATTATCATTAGGTGGATAGAACCGATAATCGATCCTGGTATCTTAAATATGCGAATGGGTAATTGAAATTTTAAACATTGGACAGATTGTGGGAATATAATTATATCTGTTACTGTCTTTAAAAATGTCTGGATTCCTAATAGCAGAAATAAACTCTCTTCTATTACTACGACTGTAAATACAATTATTGTTCTCATGCGTTCTATAAAAAGTGACGGATAGACCAATTTTAAAAACTAGTCGACATAATTGTATATTATCACGCCACTACATATAATTACGGCTTATCAACAAAAAAATTAATAGAATTATTGCGTAGTTGAAATTTAACATGAAGGAGGACTAAAACTTGTTGGGAAAAATCATTTTGGAGAGTCCAATCGTACGCCTTTGGAAATAATTTTGGAACGTCCAATCTTATGCCTTTGAAATATATATATATATATATATATATATATATATATATATGTATATATATATATATCCTCTGGCCTAGATCTATTTATGTAACATATTCAATTTCTTGTTTATCCCCGATATTGCGTATTTAGTTCACAGTTGCATTAGTCGTTTAGAAATAGAACACTTTGCGATTGTTTTCACCATTCTTGTTTAAAGTTGCATAGGATAAAGTTTAAGAATTCACACAAATATTTGGGGATAACCTACAAAAATAACTTTGTATGGGATTAATGATTTATTGCCACAAATTTAAGGAAATGGAGAGAGTTATGTGGCATCAAATATTATTTTATGGAGACCTTTCTCATATATCTTATATTATCTTATTTGGAAGACTCATCTGATGCTAGTTTCGAATTTGTTTATTCATTATGTAAATTTCAAAGGCGTTAGCAAATATTTACTATGATCATGTCAACATAAATATCCAGATAGACTAAATATTACTTATCTATGTTGATGAAAGTAATTGATCGAATATAAACCGTTCAGCAACTTGTTTTTTCACGCCCATTTCATTTTACGATCGTGTAATTTAGTGTAATATTTCCATTCAAATGTTAGTAAACACTAAAATAGACTCCATATCAAAGTTCTTGATCAAAGTGACCTTCGCAGAATCAAAATAAACTTCTCCAACTCTGCTGCATCATTCGATAATGTGCAATTTTATCATTTTGTTTACTCCGGCCGGCAATATGTAATAATTATGATTAGATACGTAATTTGTAATAACAGTACTCTAGTTCGCATTATTTTTATATCTAAAGTAATTGTAGTGCGTATATACGATTTTGTTTACCCGGTTTTGCCGGCTTTGTTTACCGGCTTTAAATTTTGGCTCGGAGCCTGAAATATTAAATATTTGCTTCCGTTTTTAGTTCTTCAGCTTGTTGTTCTAATAACTCTTGCAATTTTGAGAGCAACAATGCATTAAAATTTTATGCCGAGTACTAACCGTGCTTAAATAATATAAACGATTTACCGAAATAATCATCAACTATCCGAAGTGAAATTTGTGTTTTTGGCAGAAAATCTGGATCACCAATTTGAGATTTTCTCGAAATTTCAAGTCAATGAATAAAATGAAGATTTGTGTACTGATACCAATTTAAAAAATTAATTATAATACTTAAGAGTGACTTGGGTTAGAAGTTTTTCTTTCTAATTTGCTGTTTAAGTCATCATTATTCATCAATGGTTGCTTAGAAGATCCAAATGAAACATTTTTGGTCAAACGAGGATTTAAAGATTTCACGTTTTTATGACTCATATATAAAATTCTTCTGTACAGGTGTATGATTTGATACTTCTCTTAAACGGTTATTCGGATTTTGATAATTCTTTTTAGAGTTTGTCAAAGAAAATTTTTAAAATTTAATTAACAATAAAACTATAGTAATATTGTAGAAATAATTGGCAAAAATTACATAAAACCACTTATTGTGTGACATTCAAAACATTTGAACTGTCATCTGGTATAAATGTCAATTTACTTGAAATTTGAAGTCAGCTGAAATTATGAGCCTAAATAATATTAGAATATAATATACAAGACAAATGTAATGTCTGCATTATTATTGCCGAAAAGCAGCTGAGATGTGCCAAAAATTAAAATAATATAAGATACAGTCAACAGTTATGTTTAGCAGATGAAATTACATAATTCAGTTTAATAAATAAAGCAATAAGTCCAAAATTGCATATACATTATTTTTTTAAACTTATGCATGTCGCATTTTGGTTAAAAAATATTTCTACTTACTAAAAAATGATTTAGAATTTTGTTTCATGTGACAAAAATTCATTTGTTTGGCATTGGATATGGAATATTTAGCAAGTTGATATTAGATTAAAGAGTGCTCATATGAAATAGATTTTACAAATTAATTCACCTAAGATTTGAATATAAACAATAATGTTTATTAAATTATTAGTAAGAAAAATGTACTTTAGAAATTATAATTTCCAAAAAGCATAATCGTACGAGATTATGAAAATTATAGATTAAATTATTGAAGCAATTAAGTTGTGTGTTAAAATCAAGTGTGATATTGTTCTTTTACTACAGATACTATATTATTTTTTTCTGAATTTCTTATACTGCTTATGCTAAGACCATAAATAAATCACAAAGATTGGACATCAAATAGGATATTAAAAAGTATAGAATAGGATATTAAAAAATTTGAACTTTTGAATTGTAGACGTGGGTACAGGACAACGTCTGTCGGGTCATCTAGTATATATATATATATATATATATATATATTAAAATAACATGACAAGTGACAGCTCTGATTAAAAAATGATGATGGTTCAGTACTTGTTGATCCATATACGTGCAAGGTCGGTGATTTTAAATTTCACTATCGATGGATTTATTTTAAGAAATTTGTATTCTAGGAACGCTTCAAGATTTTATAAATAAAATTAGGAATGTATTAATAAATTGATGATTTTTTTAATTTGATATTAAGGGAGACATCATCCATATTAAAATATATGAATAAATATTATCATGGTAAGGGATTTTTAGAACAATCAAGAAATTTAATGATAATTAATAAAGATAGTGAAGTAAAGATAAACATTAAATATAAATCTTAAATTGCTACCAACAAATAAAAAATGAGTTCTTAGTTAGTTAAATATAGAAGAATTCAGATAATCACTTTTGTTTCATCGATTAGTTAGTTTTCGATTTAGTGTCATCTGCAGTATGAATATTTTATTTTTGTAAATTTTACTTTTTTATAAATGTAGCATTGCAGATTATTTTACCTAGTGATAAATGTTGTCACCTTGAAATACACCATTTTCATATAATATATACAACTCCTAATTTCTATAGCGAGTGTTTTATTGATTTCATATTTCGTAAAGTTATTTTGGTTACGTCCATTCAAACGTTTCAAATGAAAAGGTTTTGGCACGAGAGCTAAAAGTAAAATATAGACCTAAAACAAATACATTTTTGGTATACAATATTATATAAAAAACAGACCAAGACTTCAAAAAAAAACGTTGATTTTTGGCACACAAAGTCTTTGGTTCACACACATGAAAAATCACAAAAATTTACAAGAGAGAGACACATCATTAATTACGAAAATGCAACTTTTTATGAAGTTGACCTAGAATTTAATGCCTGAGAAATATGGAAGTTATCCAAAATTTTCTTCAAGGAAATTAAATTATTTGAAGAAAAGTGCACAATATTTGAAAAAAAAAACTTTTGTTTTGAGCAAACCGATATTCTTTACATAATATTTCTGGTAAATTTTAACGATCAGATTTAAGTTTTACAAACACATTCGTTAATATTTATTACATATTTTGCATCGATATTGTGATGCAACCGTGTAATTCTCATGCTTTGAATATTTTTTATGTTTAACATAATAGCTTTTACTACAGTAATTAGTATGTGATTATGATAATGAACATAAATGTTACTAACAACTTTTATGAAATACTGTGCAAAATTATTCTACAACTCATTCCACTACTTTTCATACCGCATATACGCAGAAATCCACATTTTAACTAAATTCTAACCGCACTAAAATTCGACACTAATTCTAACGATTTTTGTGGTCCAACTATTGTCTTCACATGTCTTGAAATGAGAAGCAATTTGTTAAATTTATTTCGGTACATGGAAACATTATGAACCATTGGATCTATGTTGCAAGATCTACGTAAACACATGCTAATAAACATATTGAAATTCAATTGACGTGTTAATTGGATACAGTGTTGGTCTAACCGAATGGTTTATATTATGCAGGAAAACTTCGAGAAGTCGTAAGAAATTTTAACGATGGACCAAACTTTTTGAATTTTTTATTAGCCAACTTTTCACCTACATTTAAAACTCTAGAATATTGGGAAAACTTCTTATTTAAGACTTCTAATAATGGAGCTCTTACAGAGACCAAAGTTCTCTTGGATTTTAATAAAAATGTCGCCGCAAATTCGTAGAAGCCAAAATGTGTAGTTGCAAATACCAGAAATTAGTGAGTTTAACTAAAACTTAAAGCAACAAGGTAGTAAGTAAAAGCACAGATAAGCAGAAACATAAACAAAAGCAGCAGAAACTAAGGAAAGCATTAACTTAGGACAAATCAATAAAGATAGGTTAGTAAAAATAATAGCAAATATGTATTTAATTCATAGAGTAGATTCTTCTTCTAACTATCTGTCTCTATACACACAATGACGTAATCTACTCACAAAAATTAATATTATCACAAAAGCATTGTTTGATTCCAAAAATCCACCACCACAACAATGTGCTTCTTTCAAACTTTAACAATTTTATCTGCTCGTCCTACCTCACAATTTTGTTGCTTCTTCCATTGGCATTGAGCAAAGGTTCACCAGCTCCTGTTTTTTGGTTTGTGGAACCTCCTGTAAAGGCTCTCTTGACAGTGTCAATTACTGAGGAAGGAGTTGTTGGTTCGGTGGTTGACATGTAGACATTTCCACCGGCGTTCCCTAAACTTGTATAACCGCCATTGTGGACAGGAGATGTGTTGGAGGTTGGTTCTTTTGGTTTTTGGACGTATGGCGTGTCGCCAATTGGGCCTAAGACTTGAGGCATCTTGGGTGGATTTTGGCTTCTTTAGGAATTGAAATTTTTAAACCAATTTAGTGATTCCAGAACGTATTTGGTTGTTGACTTGTATTTGATACGCCTACAGTGGTTCTGCCTCGACTGCTCGGTTACTGAATGTATCGTGCTACCAATCAGATTCCAATTGAAATTATTAATGAATCTTAGAAAGTGACCTTTCTAAATATTAAATTTCTGTACAATTTCTTTGGTTGGTTCTGGGTAATATAACTATTTTTCTGAAAATTTTCCAGTACTACGTTGTTCTATTTCAGATACCAATTTATCGAACCAGATAGTATTATCAATATGTACAAATATTACGTTCTATGATGTGCTGTACACTCACATCCACCTTACTGGTGTTTGTTACTCCAGAATTGAACTTTCGGCAGGTTTTTACGTTGTTTTAGTAATAGCATTCGGCTTTTATTAGAAATCAATACACGGTGTATGTAGTATCTTCAATGCGCCTATGTGGTGGTCAGGTCTCCAAGTGGACCATTTTTTCCGATTTTGTCAAATGTGTCTCCTTGTTTTGCAGACGATCAGATTTGATACAGAGATGAATATAAGGAAGAAAGAAAAGGTTAAGATAAAGTATATAAATTATAAGATGAATGAAAATATTAAATTTAGATAGTGGAAAGTGGAAACAGAAGATGAAAAAGACTTAGGCCTAAAACTTAATTTTGAATAAATTTGTTTTATCTAACTTCAATATGTTTTCAAGAATCATTTATATTCATGAAGACGTCCATTGTGTAATTTAAACTTAAGAAAAAAATTGAATAAAAACATTGAATACATATTTCGCCATGCAAAAAAATAGCTAGAGGCATCATATTCAAAAGCATTCAAGAGCGTTAGGTTACATTTAAAATAATTATTGAAATATTTATTAGTGCTAAAAGCATAACATTCTTCTTATCTTATCGGGAATGCATTACATTTAATAAGGCTTGTAGTATATTTACACATATTATTTTAAATTATATGACGATTTAGTAATTTTAAATGCGCATACATTCTACAAAATATATAATGAATATAGTACTATACATATTCAAATATAAATCAGACGACGAAATTGAAAAATATCATTGATGAAATTCCTTAAACCATATAAGTCGTAAGCAATATAGTAATAAATGGAAAATATATTGAAAAAGTATTTAGAGGGCGAAACTGCAATCGTTTTATAACATTTTATTGATCGATTCAAAATCTGGTAAATAAATAGAATATTTTTAGGATGATTAAAATGATGAATTCAATATATACCTAATAACATTTTTGATGGAAAACTTTAACGCCATAAATAATAAAAGATATAAACAATATGTAGCAAATATTACTAAACATATCGAAAGAGTATTTATATACCTCCAAACCGCAATCAATTACATCTTTTGTAATGTTTTATTGATCGTATTTCAAATTATTTGTATGAATAAAATAATGCAATAGCAATAAATGTCAAAGAGTGAATATATAAAAAAAAATCAGTCAAACTTTCAAAATTTATGCAACCGTTTTTTTGCATACTAGTCAAAGAAATCAATCTCATCAATTAGAATACTACTTATATTTGAAATGTTAAAATTTGCAAAGGAATTGAAAATTGTGAATTTATTATTTCACATACTATATCTTAATTTTTCCAGAATAAATAGTACTGTAAAATGGATGATTTTATTTTTAACTTTTTTAACTTCAGTTGCAACATAAATCATTTGTTATATTTTCATTAATTATATTTTTCCTTATTAGTATTTATTTATATTTTGTTAGCTAATACAATAAAAAAATGAAAACGAAATAAAAATCAATTTTTTAACTAATTTATATAAAATTAATTATTTTTGCATACTTTTTCTTATTTTTTCCAAAATAAACAGCACTGTAAAAATGATTTTTTTCACCCTTAACTTTTAAAATAAATATTTCAGTAAATTTATATTTACTTAATTTACATGGGAGCTATATAAATAATTTTCCATATTTTTATTTATTTCATTTTTCATTGTTAGTATTTATTTAGCTAATACAATAAAAAAATTAAAATGAAATAAAAGCTATTTTTTAATTAATTATTTCTCATTTTTTCCAAAATAAACAGTAATGTAAAAATCGATTTTTTTACTTTTAACTATTTAAATAAATATTTCAGTAAATTTTATAGATACATGGTAGTTTGCTGCATAAATAATTTTTTATATATTTCATTATTTATATTATTTATATTTTTTGTTATTAATATTTATTTTTAATTTTTACTGGTGATATAATAATAAATAAAAATAAAAAAAAAATCATTGATGATATAAACTAGGATCTTATTATATTAATAAATCATTGATGCTATAAGACTAGAATATGCGGTTAATGGTTTTTTATCCTAGATAATTTTAATTTTGTCTAAATTTATATATATATATATATATATATAAATGAAAATAAAAAAAATAAAAATAAAATCTTTGATATAAACTAGGATCGTCTAATATTAATAAATCATTGATGATGTAAGACTGGAAGATGCGGTTAAGGATTTCTTATCCTGGTTATTTTTCAATTTGTCTAGATTTTTATTATATATATATATATATATATATATATATATATATATATATATAACAAAAAATAAAAATGAAATAAAATCATTGATGATGTAAACTAGGATCTTCTAATATCAATAAATCATTGATGCTATAAGTCTGGAACATGCGTTTAAGGATTTCTTATCCCAGATATTTTTCAATTTGCCTAAATTTATATATATATATATATATATACATATATATATATATTCTGAATAGATATTGAATATATATTAGATATATAACTATGTGTATAAAGAAGTATAAGGATCAGGAGCCATTTTGAGCGAATTCTTTGCTAAAAATCAATACATTTACGTCACTAGCGAATTTAGTAAAATGCATTGCGCATAAAAAATTAATAAATCAAATGATTAAGAAGTGAATCCATTCTCATATGATAGTGATAGTGCAATATGCTGTGTCTATGCTGTAATAAAAGTTATATTGATCGACCTACATATCAATGACACATGGTTTGATAATCGACTTACCTGGAGATTTGGGAAATTTATTTCGGTAATGAATCAGGTGTGTCTTTAACAAACACTTTACACTTATCACAGGCACTGTTTGTATTTTTTTGAGAAATTAAAATGATGAATTCAAAGGAGTATGATTTTCATTGAAATGCTAAGAGTGATACTAGACATATGAAGTTGGTTGTTAGGGACCACTGTTGTCAAAATACGAAGTAGGGCGGCGTTCGACTACAATCGGCCATCTTCGAGTTCGATTTAAAAGAGAGTGGCGTAGTCTAGAGTTTTTATGCAGGTACTAACGGTATTTGGAAAACGAGTTTTGAATCTTGAATAGATGTTATTATTTGATGAAATGAAATGAAATCGAATGTTTATTGTAATATATTACATCGTAATTTATTTTATCGGCTGCTTAATTGTTATTCAAAAAATATGGAATGACATATTTTACTACTGCAAAGACATCCATACCACATAGTTACACAAGGTAATGGCTTAGATTAAACTAATAAATTAATATGACGATTTTAAAAATACTAGGTAATAAGCAACTACTTATCATAAATTGCAAGATAAACGATTATTACTTAATTAATTACTAAGGATTATTAATTAGATTATTTACTAATTTACTTATTTTGAATGATTCGAATACATTCAAATTTCCCACCATTCAAATATTCGAATTGATTCAAATGTTCCACCATTCAATTATTCAAATTTTCATCATACATCATCACGTCATAGTTTATTTATGTTATTATTTTTGTTTTACTGTTTTTATTTTATTTTATTTTAATTTTTTCTATTTTATATTCAATTTATTGTATTATTTTATTCTGCATCAATCAATTTTGAGAATAAGACAATAAAGTTTTAATTAATAAAAATAAATTGTTACCAAAAAAAAAAAAATCGGCTTGAATTGATTCAAATGTTCTTTTATTCAAAATTTCAAATTTTTACGATTCGAATTCATTAAAATATTTCATCATTCATTATTCGAAAAAATTCAAATGCGCCAACATACACATTTTCGAATTTTTACGATTTGATTCGAAATGATTCGAATTGATTCAACAATCCACCATTCAAATTTTAGAATTTTTGCAAGTCGCATCGTTTTGATTCGAATTTATTTAAAATTACATACATAAATATTAATATTTCTACTTAATAATTCCAAAATTTACGAGAAATTAATATATAGTTAAATTTTGTAATAATTATTTATTCCCAACTGATGTAATATAACGTCCATCCAATTCGTAAATAAATAAAGGCGCAGTACGTATTTATTATTGACATGTTATAATTACATAATTTCTTTTGATAACATTTGTATCAAGCGATAAAAATGTTTAAATTTATATAAATGGTGTCGTTTTGTATGATGATTGAAGCAAAGATTCGATTCGAATCTACCATAGTATGTGACTCGGGTTATCCGATGTATTCTACAGTTGGAACAAACTTCGCTAGATGGTAGATGTATTATTTGGAAGGTGCTAGTTGCAATATTTTTTGCATTAGTCTGCAATTTTTTCACATTATTTGATAAAGTGACTGATTGTGCCCTAAAATGGATTAATGTTATGACAAGGCTATGTTATGTAGCAGTTTTCATATAAAGTGGTACCAAAAACTGTAAGATGCTTACGTGGTTGTTATGCAGTCAGGCATTTAGATAGAAAACCTAACCTAGAAAACGCACAAATGCCAATAAAAAAACGATGTTATCATAACTGCGTCTTTGAGATATGCCTTGATAACATATGAGTGAAGTTGCATTTTATATGTAAAACGCCTGATCGCACAGCAAACACATTTTTTTTCTAATTTTAATCCATATTATGATGATTTAATATAAAATAAAAGCAAATAATGATAATAATAAAATTTAAAAAAATTGTGAATTATAAAAATAATACTAGAAAAACAATACATATAAGCTAATTCATTGCATTTTGATAGTATTTAGTAGCATTTTGTATGAAAGCTGGAACATAACAAAGTCTTGCCAAAACATTGGTCTATTTTGCGGCAGAATCTGCCCAAAAGTCTCACAATAGCAATACCTTAAAAACACATAAAGTCCACCTAATCTCAAACGCTATATTTTATAAATTCGATTGCCATTTTTGATACGGATATATAATTGTAAAAAAAAATTTAAAAGTTGTACTCTGAACTTAACATTTTTCGGTCTTAACATTATTTTCGATTTAAAAATTGTTTTAAATAACAATAACTGATTTTAGGATATAATTCAAACGCGTTTTATTCAACCAATAAAATGAGTCAGGATATTGTCAAGTGCTTGTTGAACATTTTACAACTAATTCACACTTGATATACTGCACTTGAAGCTTTGTTTTCTATTGTCAATATTCTCATTTGATTGATTTTTCCAGTTATTAGCAAGATTAGTACAGTTTTTTTTATTGTTATCTAAAATTAATAGTAGTTATTTGTATTAATATTCTGAAACAAATTCAAGAGTTCGGATTAACTTATCTAACATTGAAACTGCAAAGTTCAAATAACAACTCAAATATGAAAAAAATGGAACAATAGCTTAGTAACACGGTTTTTGTAAAATACATCTATTGCGTTGTTTAAATTTCTAGAGAAGCATGTTATTATGTCTTTGTTAGAAATTGTACGAAGTTCTTGGACATTTTTTGTTTTCTCCAGGTTTCTTGTTTTGCGAATCATTTGGCACAGAAGTAAGAGTATTATCAGCAAATTTTTGGTAGTACTTAGATGTCTTAGAATGTCTAAATCGAATGTCAATCCAGTGATTGGACGTCGGGGTATAAAGAAATAATTTTGATGGTAGATACCAGGGTCTTATAGATCATACTAAAATATTACGGCCCTACGATAATAGACAATTGTTTAGAGAATCTTTCCATCAAAGTAGAGCGTAATGCGAAACAGCGCTAAACGAGGCTATCTTTATATGGAATTATTGGTGTTAGGGGAAGATGGCTAGGAAATTGGTTAGGTATTGAATTTGAAAATTAGGTTTTTTTTAATAAAAGTAAAACCTAACATTTATTTCTTAAAGCCCAAATTAATACCACATTATAATTTCTTGTAAAAATAAGAACCAAATCTAAATAACAATAATTCGAATATTCTTAAAAAACATAATTCAAAGTCAGTCATATTTAGTTAGCCTTAAGCGTTTTCAATGTGCTGCCTTTTGTGACAAACATTTAAGGGGGCGTCCATTAATCACGTGAGCGAGTTTTCAAGGATTTTTGGACCCCACTCCCCCTTGTTGATACATGGTGATATTCATAATTGTCCCCCCTTCTCCGCCATACATCACGTGTATTTTTAGGTATGTGAAAAAACTGTACATTTTTTGAATTTATTTTTAAAATGTTTGAACTTTTTTTAAAAAAAATAGTTAAAAAATAAACACACTTGATCTCTTACCATACCCCTCCCTCCCCCATGTGATATTTCGTGATTTTTTGTCAACCCCTCCCCCTCCTCCTAAAAACCTCACGTGATTAATGGAGGCCCTCTAAAATGCTGGCACAACTCCCTTTTCCTTTGCGTTGTTCTCTTAAAATTTGTTCATAAAAGGATAGAGCATCTTTAACACCATGACTTACTTTTGGCCTCCTGTCAAAATTTGGATAATTTTCAATGCATTGATACATTATTTCAGATATGGTTGATAAACTCCTTTTTACAAACGCCATGGAAAGTTTTTTTTGCTCTTCCTCTGAATCACTGATGTCAACATTTTTGTTTGTTTCTTGTTCAGTTAATTCCTTGAACTCATCATTAGAATGACTGCGGTGCTTCTTGAATTATTTCTTCGACGTCTTCCACTTTTACTCCTTCAAAACCTGGGTTGAAATAAAAGAGCGCTAAACCGAAACAGCGTTAAGCGGGGTATTACTGTTTCAAAAAATCTTATGCAAGCAACCTCTATTTTTAATCACTGTGATGACACATTACTGCTTAGTAGGTATACAACAACATAATACTCAGATTCACCTCTCGTTTTCCCAAATCGTATTGTTCTCCCGAACCTACATTGGGTTATTTTCACACGAAATTCTATTCTTTCACCGAAATGTATAAAACAAATGTCAGTGCCACATCTGTGAGTCTCGTAACAGCCGTCCGACCAACCAACTCTTTGGGTTGTGGAAGTCAGGTGTTCGTTCGCGAAAACTCGAGCGAAGGGCGTGCTTTAAGGAAGAGCAAGGGGTGGTCTAACATTGCCCAAGAGATCAATTTTTAAATATTTTATCAGGCCGAGTCAGAATGCCTTGAATGTGAAACCAACAGGACCGAGAACCTTCCGATATCTAACAGTTCGGGATGGACTTTGAACGCGGAAACTAGACTGAGTAAAGGATATACTTTATCGTGGTGATTTTTTTGTCGTATAAACTAGGATCTGGATTTTAGAACAACATTAAGTTGTTGTTTTAAATTATTTCTTAGAATGTAATATAAGGGTCACAGCAATACTCAGGAGAGTCATTTCAAAATGCAAACACATTGTTGATATATATTTTCAAATGATAAAGGATAAAATTACTGCATGGGATGAAAAGTGACTAGTGTTTCCTAGTGCGAACTAGGGTTTATACAAAAACCGACATTTCAGAAAACCGGTTTTTGAATATTAATTTTACTAAAAAACGGGTTTTAGCCGGTTTTCGAATTTCATATAGAAAATAAATGTTTGCTCGAATATTCTATAATTTATTCGCAAATTTAGTGTGATTTGTTCAATATTATGGATAGTAAACAAAATTAATTTAATTTTAATTAGGAGAACTGAAAAATAATAATTTATCTTGATTAAATAACGTTGAAAATAATTATTCGTTATTCATGCATCATTTTCACATATAAGAATAAAAATATTTTTATGATAGTGAAAAGAAAGTTCTCGAATAAATAAAAATAATGTAGTTTTAAATAAAAAAACATTCATTAAATTAAAAAAAAAAATAAAAAAATATTAGAAACATGTTGATAAATACTTGTTAATATCAATTTTTGTTTTAAAAACAATTAAGCTAAACTCAAGTATTGTCTGTTCCGAG